TATATATATATATATATATATATATATATATATATATATATATATATATACATACACATACACACACACACACACATATATATATATACATACATACACACACACACACACACACATATATATATATATACACACATACATACAGACACACACACACACACAAATGCTTTTTGTGCTTCTTCCAGCTGGAATGCCCCTGGGAAGAACATACCTGGAAAATGTTCAGGTTCCAAAAGTAGGTAAGAATGAAGGAAAGGAAATGAACAGCCCAGTCAAAGAAGGGAAAAAAAGTGCTTTATAGGAGGCAGCAAGAGTCAGATCCTAAAGGAAGAGAAGTATACTCAATGTTATTTGCATTTCAAACACTAGTTAATTGCAATGTTATTTAATGTTCTTTGTATTCCCCTGAAGTTGGAATCTCTAACACAGATCATGAATAATGCACATGGGAGGACAGAGTAGGTGACCCAACAGGTCTCTTCCATTTCCAGTTCCTTTGGTGATCTTAATTTGAAAAGTCAGCAGTGACCCCCAGGATACATGACAACAATAGGCCAGTAAATACTAATTAAGACAGATGGTAAGATACTGGTTAAAAGACACCCAACTAGATCACAGAAAACCTTGCAGAAAATTATTAACCAAATCAAATAGTTATCATCCAAGGGTGTTTCCTACCACATAATACCTGAACAATTTGGAATATTGTAGGATATGAGGAACAAAGATGAATGATACTGTAGTTTGAGCTTTTTCCAGTGATGCAAAGAAAGCTTTAGATATGATCAAGTGGGATTAGCTACTAGCCAATTTGTAGACAATTAGGACAGGGCAGAATTTTACCCAGCAGGTAAAAGTCCTTTATGGAAATCTCACAATCATCCATCCCATCTATGCTAGAGAATTAAAAACCAAAATAAACAAAAAAACCCAATAAAAAACAGTTTCTAACATTGTTTCAGCTTCATCAATGTTAGCAACATTGGGTACCCTCTTGTAGAGGAGTACTGACTGCCAATCATGTGTCAGTTAGACCTCATCTCAATATTACTAGATCAGCGGTTCTCAACCAGGGTACACAGAGGTCTTCCAAGAGGTACATCAACTCATCTAGATATTTGCCTAGTTTTACAACAGGCTATATAAAATGCACTACTGAAGTCAGTACAAACTAAAATTTCATACATTTACTTGTGTATACTGCTTTATATACTATCCACTGAAATGTGAGTAGAATATTTATATTCCAGTGGATATAAGGTAAAAATGAGAAAGTAAGCAATTTTTCAGTAATAGTGTGCTGTGACGCTTTTGTATTTTTAGGTCTGATTTTGTAAGCAAGTAGTTGATAAGTGAGGTGAAACTTGGGGGTAGACAAGACAAATCAGACTCCTGAAAGGGGTACAGTAGTCTGGAAAGGTTGAGAGCCACTGGACTAGATTACACACTTATTAAAAATGGTAGTGGCAGCTAATGGTCTGCCTATGCTAGGGCCCCCACTGTTGTCATCATTGGTGGAACTGAAATAGTGTTAGCAACATTGGGAAATGTCTGGTATGAACAAGGTTTCAATGGCTACAAATGACCACTCCCTTGGGATATTCCAGCTTGAGAGAAGGACAGATCTGGGTTACCTTTTTCTTTCTTAGGTTTTGGTTTGTAGTGAAATCCCATAATTCAGCTGATACAACAAAGTAAGGATGCATTGTAGTACTGTGGGATGAGAGTGAAAAAAATAAATCAATATATTAATTCTATTACTATGGTCTCAAAATTTGAATTTGAATAATAATTAGATTCTAAAATTCAGTGCAGAAAAGCAAAAGGGATGATGTCCTATCAAAGGACACACACACGAAAAAACACCATTCAGAAGAACTAAGCACTTCTTCAAAAATGGTTAACATAACACCAAATATTAGGTCAGCATTTCCCCAACGCCTCCTCCCTCTGCTCCTGTAACCAGGCCCTGGGGATTCCAGATAAAGGAGGCTTTGGTGGTGAGCACAGAGAAAGTGGTAAATCCTGAGGTAACTGATTCTTGGGCTTTGTCAATGGTAACCACAGAAAACATACTCTTTTTTAAATGGCAATTTCGGCTAGTGAGTGTTTCTAAATGTGCACTGATGTTAGGCAATATTATAGGGCAATATCCATTTTCCTCTGTCCATGTTAATGCTGTTTTTATTTTCTCTCCTGCAAAGTTCACATAATTAGGGCCCTATCCTGTGAGGTGCTGAGCATCATTTGTGATGGATTAAGTACCTTCAACTGCCCCTGGACTTCATAGGAGTCGAAGGCACTCACCACTTTTCAGCACTGGACCAAAAGTCATTATTTACTGTTCTTCTCTAAGGCTGACTAATGAACATTCTTAGTAGCACCATGCACATGAAGATAGGCTCTTGCTCAAGATAGAGAAATTAATTTATCTGAGAAGCGCACACAAAGAATAAAAGTTGCTAGAATCCTAAGTATTTCTACAGAAGATAAAATTCCTTTAAGATAAGCTGGCTACCATTTGTCACGCGGGTCCTGTTCAGGCACATGTCTAGTGGAGGAGGAACAGGAGTAGGACCAGAAGTATTAGAAATCAGATGGTAGCATATCACATTTTGGAGCAGGGAGGGAGACAACTGGTTGCTGGGGTGGATGGTACCATTTATTAGGAGCAGCAGGATGCAACTTTGTAATTGGGAGAAGAAAGTCAAGCTGAGATACTTTAGTTGGTGTCTGGGAGGATTGAACATTTGCTAGGATAATGATGGATCAGATTGCTTTGGAAATACCAGAGTTCAGGGGAGGGATTGGCTGCTCCAGACAAACACACTCATACATTGTTAACCTGCAGAAAAGCTATCTGTTAAACAATGGGAAAATGGATGACACATTAGTGAAAGTCTGTAAACTATAATGACATCACTGCCACTTAATACATTATAAAGTCACATTAGGGAGTAGGGGAAACTATTAAAATCCTTTCACTGTGGAACAATGATATAAAAAATTATAACTGTATTTATATTTTGAAGCAAATAATGATTTTTTGTTCATTTGCAGAAAAGTACTAACATCATGGGGAAAAGCCCAGTATTGTGGAAACAGACACTATAGATGGAAGAGACCAATTAGATTAAGCAGTCTCTTTCCCTGCAAATATAATATGTAGCGCAGTACTCTGCTGATTACATAAATTCTATTTCAGGAAGTAGAGAAAATTTCATTAGCGATATTACAGCCAAACTGAATTAAAGTTACATTAAAAACATTCAGATGACTGTACAGTTCCTTACTACTCTTTAAGATACAATATACATCAAGCTAAATTCTTAGTAAGACACATTAAGAATTTGCAAAGGCATTGGACATGACAGTGTCTTTCCCCAGAAAATAGGATTACTTTTTGGTGTGGTGATTCCAGAACCCAAAGAAAAGAAACTAGTGAAAACCTTTGAACAAGAACACAAACCACCTAAAACAGTGACCATTAGGAACAGCAATAAGTGATGATTTTTGCCACTGACCTGCTATGTGGCTTTGAGTAAGTTTCCCTATCTGTAAAACAGGAATAATGAAACTTACCTCCTTTGTAAAAGACTGTCTATTGATGAAAAAAGTCTTAAAAGCATAACTATTGCATGCTAGTGTTGATAAATACTATTTCCTTGCATTCACCTGTCATCAAGCATTTTTCTGTATTATCATTCATTTTAGCGATTTAAATGGCTTATTAAGAATTCCTTTGATTCTTCTCCCAGATTTTGTGACAGAGAAGAGGATTTTCGTTTTGAACATACATGTCAAACTCAGAGAAATACACAGATTTAAGATGTATTGTGTGTTGGGGGGAGGTTATATTGTGATATATACTTGAGTAGGTCCATTGTATTCTTGACTGTGACAGTTAGGGGGCAACAGATGAGCTGTCTTAAACTTATCTGTCAGGGTGTCCCCAGCTACTGTCTCTGGTACTTGGGTTATAAATACCTGGTACTTCTTTTATGAGGACTCTCTCTACTGTGACTTGAGGTATCATATAGAATGACAGGCAGACTGTAATAAAATAATGAATCCGTCTCAAAGTACCATCAGCCTTGTATTACTCCAAGATTCAACGCACAATACATTTTAAATATAAAAAGACATTAAAGATAATAAATTATTATAAATGAGTAGCAAACATCTTTAATATCCATATAAAAACATCCTAACGGGAAAACTTATAAATGCATTTTAACTATTCTAAAACAACAAAAACCAAAACTGACAGCTACTGTTAAAAAGCCATGGAAAAAGCTCTTAAAATGCATCCAACCTGAAATTACAATTATAGAAGGAAACGTTTCTATAAAATGATTTTAAAAGGGTATATGACTGTGACAGTCAAGTACAGAACAAAAGAAACAAAGTCACACAGAGAGTCAAAGCACAAGATGGGGATAAAAAGCTTGGGGGACAATTTCAAAGGCATCAAGCACCGAACTCCCATTAACTTTCAAATGCAGTCAGTCACTTGTGCCTTTGAAAATCTTCCCCTAGATCTTCCACACGTGAATCTTTTCTGCAATCACACACCAATTTGCATGGTCAAAGTATGAATGAATAACATGTAGCTCAGGAACATGATGTTCTATCAGTTCAACCAACTCCCCTTCTTTAAAAACATGGTAGTACCTAAGACAAGCCCCATTAGGACTCCTTTGCGGCTGTTTGTTCCATGTGGCCATGGAACAATAATTATTGGTATCCTGTAGAGAGCTGACTGTTTTCCTTCTGTTTTGGAGTTGGTGGAAAGCTGATTGTTTTGGGTGATAATCTATTTTAAGTTGCTGTTTGACATCTTTTTGATGGGAAACCAGGTCAGGTAAACACACTCTGCTGCAGTCATGAATTATAGCTGGAGACACTGGGGGCTGCTTAGTGTCCTGGCCTAATTCTGAATAACAACTTTTGAAAGGCACTGGGTGACATATCATAGGTGACCCTGGTTCTACAGCTACTTCAGAAGCATTATCTTCAGAATTCTGCCTGCAACGCAAAGACAAGTTGGAAATATGCTTCATGAAGCCACCTTGCCTGATTTGTTCAAAAAGCTTTCCCCTGTTTAATTCATCCAGCTGAATATTGCCATTGGAAAATGTGCTAAGCTCTCTTTGGTGCCACTGATTACTCAAGTCTAATATTGAATCAAGTGATCTTGAAAAGAGAGACCATCTCAGGGATTTTTCAAATAAGTTGTGTGTGGTTTCCTTCTCCCCCACAAAGGATGAGCTTCTTGCTTGCCTGTGTGCTTTTAAAGTGCCAGCTAACTTAGGGGAGTGTTGGTCCAAAGCCAGCCTTTTGTCCTTTTGATTAATTGATTTCTGTATTCCACGAGAACAAGTGTTACTCAAGGTCCAGGAAGGTGGTGAAGGATTCCAAGGAACAAAGACATCCTGCTTTTCAAATTTTCGCCGTTTTTGCTCCATTGCCCACACGTATATCATCATCTGGCCACCTACTCTCAAGGTGCGAGCCATCTCCTTTATCGCTCGCACGCGCCGCTCCTTTGTTGAAAAATGGTGGATCACTGGAACAGAACATATAAAGTGAATAAATATCCCTCAAATCACTAATGAATAGAACACAGAAAAATACTGGTTCGGACACACTGGCTTGAACGCCAGGAAAGGATCATCTGTCTTCTACTGACTACACTATGCTACAGCCTTTCCATATGTGAAAGGAACTCAAAGCAGATTTATTTTATAAATACAATAAAATTAAAATGCATGTATTGGTGCTAGTGACAAGTTCCAGACTGACAGCAACTGCAGCTCCACTTACTCACAAAATAAGTACAAGACGGGTAGTTTTCTATTTTTTACCCTGTTAGCATGGCCCAACTGTGGTCTGAAGAGAGCACTTCTAAGGGAATAGGGGTCTACCGAGTCCATATAAATTTACTCCAATAAGAGTGACACAAGGATGCCAATTATTGTGATGTGGACACCTGTTAAATAAAAACTGGACTGAAATCACCTACTCATTTTGCTTAAGTAATTGAACAGCCACCGAACAACTAATACAATAAAGATAATCTGTCACTACTAGTTCTGGGTGAATTTAAACCATTGACATAGCAGTGAAAGGGTCCATAACCACTTACCAGTCATCTAGTCTTGCTAGTTCACAGTGTTAAAGATAACTTGTTGAATAATTAGTCCTATTTTTATTTAGTAAAATATGTATGCTATTACCAATAGTTAAAGTATAGTGAGAACTTGGTAGTTACAAGCATAAAGATTTTTGTTACCTCATTCGTAAAAGTGTTTTGAGAGCTACTGATAAGAAGTTCTATATTATTATTATTTTACTAGGATATGGTCTTGTTTTTATGTTCATAACTTTCTGAACCATTCACTTTTGCAGCTGAAATTCTCCATGCTTGGTCCAAAATCCTTTAGGCCACATTTAAGTTATGAGAAAATGAAAAATAAATACATTTTCCCATCACAAAAAATCATCATCTCACTCTTTTAGACAGCACTACTGAAAAAAATGGCTGAAGTTTGAAACTTAACATGGCCTCACTGAGGCCAAATGTGAAAACAAGTTAGTTTTGATTAAACAAAGATGTGACCATGTGAAGATTGGATACTGAGCATGCACAGTAGAAATGTTCCCATGTCTACAAGGCTCCCCTTTATGCTGTGTCTTGGTGGATAATTATTTACAGAATGTTGCAATAAATAGTTGTCACTGGATGGGCCAAATTCTGAAGTCAAACTCAGGCAAATCTCCCAAAGACTTTACTCACAAAAGCTTTGCTTGAGTCAGAACTGAGTTCAGGATTTGACAGACATCAATAAAAAATTTGCCCAAATACCACCTGCTTAGGCTCAGGATTTGGCACAGCATTTTGCCTGAATGAACGCTGATCTTAATTATATTGGAGAAATTCCATGGTAGACAATGACAGATATCAGATTCTGGTATACAGTAGGGACTTCAGGATTTGGTTGATTGGTAATAGGGGTATGAATTCCATATTACATTGAAGGCAAGGTATAACTAAGGAGCAATCAAGGATTTTAGCAGTAGTGGTAGAATGAAAAGGACTAATATTAAAGATGTATAAGATAGAGCAACCAAATTTGATGCAAGTCTGGATATGGGAAGACGAGAGAGAGAAAAGTCAAACAGAACACGGAGGTTGTGAACATTTGTAATGGGGAAGATGCTGAACACAAGCTATGACTACACATCTTCACGAGATCTGGGGATGGAAATGGTTTTGCTCAATTTTTTATCCAACCTTTTCCCTACATTTTCTTTAGTGAAAATGTCCACACAAATTACTGCCTGTGTTTCTATGCACTATCACCTCAAGCGTCGGTGATAAAGTAACTTTGCGTTACAGTGCTGAAGTGCCTGCCCCCATATGCAAATTATACATCTCACTGGGAAAAACTGTCCCCCCTTTCAGAAATGTATGTGCACAAAATGCTGTCAGCATAGCTAGATGTTCAGCACATCTTTATCTGTCAGGGTGAGCAATGTTCAACCAGATCTGCTTTCCCTCAGAGGAAAGAGATACTTCTACAATTAAAAGAATAACAGCATGGAATCAAGCTAAAATAGGGAAACACTGCCAGAAATGAATGATGAATTCACCTTCTCTGCAGCAATGCGAAGATCAAAAGCTAATCTTTAAAGAAATAGGCTCTTTCAACATCTAGTTATTCAGATACAGGCAGAGTATGTTTCACTGGTTCTAGAAGAACAGAAATCAATTCCAAAAATGCTCAAATTCTACAGCAATAGCTGAGAGTCTGACATTATGGTCATTTTAATTAAAAAGGCTTCCAGTAGCATTTAAAGGGTTACAGTTTATTAATAAAACCTTCAGATGCTTAGAAAAAGTTTAGTGTTGGTACAATGAATTTGTGTGGAATGAGGAGTAAGTTTGAAATTCCCTGAGTGATGCATTACATTAAAAAAGGCATAACCTGAGGAAGCAAAGAGGAAGTGTTATCCTACGATAACATCAAGTTGCACTTAAATTTCAGATCCTCATGAGTCTTATCATGCATTTTTCTTTTTAACCAAAGGTACGCTTGTCAGGGACCACAATTAGAACACACTCCCAGTCACCTAAAGCAGGCTGCTTATGGGAAAAATCATTTAGCTTTCTCTTTATACATTCAAATCTTTATAACTAAATATTAGTTAATTTACAAATTAGGTCTTGTTTCAAAGACAGAGCTACTTGCTTTCTTAACTTTGTCGGGAAGGATATATAAATATTCATTTTGAACCTGGGATTTCACTCTCCACTAGCACCAAATTAAACAGCATTGAGCCTGATTCTCCACTAAAGCCTCAGGACTGCTTAAATTACACTAGCAGCACCAGCCCCCAAAGGGCCAGTTGGACAATCATGGATTAGCGGAGTACAGCAGTGGTCCAATGACCCTCCCCCACTTTCTCCAGCAGCACTCCCTACACAAGAGCTAGGAAACATAAGAATTGATATGCCAGGGGACTTCCAAGTTAGCTGGTCAAGCTACCTTTAAGGTTGTTTTAAGGCACCAGAACACCACAAAAGAGCCTTAACAAAGGCCAGAATCTGGACCTGTTGCCATGATCTTGAAATATATTTATGTCTTAATGTGACAGTGACCAATACTTTAAATGAAAAGTGGTGTTTGTTTTGTCTTAAATAAAAAAAAAAATCCCATTGGCTGAAATTACCTAGCATCAGTTTTGTTCTCAACCATAAGAATAATGAAGGCTGGGGGGACGTGAAAGAGACAGAATGAGTGTTGCCATATACAAAATAAAAGTTCTGTCCTGCGCATTCTGTCACAAAAGCACTGACTTCAACATGAGTAAGGGTTTGCAGATCAAACCCCATTTCCTTCTTGGCGCAGCTACCACCCACAATACAGGTGGGAAAAAATGGCTACTCACCTTCTCGTCATTGTTGTTCATCGAGGTGTGTTGTTTACGTCCATTCCAATCAGGTGTGTGCGTGCGCACATGCACAGTAACCAGAAAAATTTTCCCATAGCAGTCTCCATTGGGTCGGCCTGGGCACCCCTGAAGTCATGCCTCCATGGTGCTCAATATAGCGCTCTCTTGACCCTCCACCCCCTCAGTTCCTTCTTGCCAGCCCTGAGCCCTGGTGGAGTGCGCAGTGACTGGGGGCGTGGGAACCCCCACCAGCTTGTAGAACTCACGGATACAGGACGTGACCCAGGACAAAATCTGTTGAGAAGAGATAGGAAGACCTTTCATTCTGTCCACCACTGCCACAAATAACTAGATGGACTTCTGGAATGGCTTCGTTCTCTCGATGTAGAAGGCTAGCGCTCTGTGGACATCTAAAGAGTGAAGCCTTTGCTCCCTGCCAGTCGAGTATGGCTTAGGACAGAACACTGGGAGGAAGATGTCTTGGTTGATGTGAAACTGTGACACAACCTTCGGTAGGAAAGCAGGGTGAGGCCTGAGCTGAACCTTGTCCTTATAGATCACGGTATAAGGGGGCTCTAATGTCAGGGCCTTGAGCTCAGACACCCTCCTGGCTGAGGTTATTGCTACCAGGAATGTCACATTGTGAGAGAGAGAGACAGAGCAGGGAGCATGTCGCCAAAGGTTCAAAGGGCGGTCCCACGAGTCTGGAAATGACCAGATTGAGGTCCCAAGCCAGGACAGGCTGTCGGACATGTGGGTATAGCCTGTCGAGACCTTTAAGGAAACAGCTGACCATAGAGTTAGCAAAGACCAAGTGGCCCTCTGCGCCTGGGTGGAAGGCAGAGATGGCAGCCAAGTGAACCCTTATTGACGACATGGACAACCTCTGCTGCTTGAAATGGAGAAGATAGTCCAGTAGAAGTGGCATGGAGGTGAGAGTCAGGGACGAACGGTGCTGTGCCGACCAGATTGAAAATCTCTTCCACCTGGCAAGGTAGGTAACCTTCATGGAGGGTTTCCTGCTGCCCAGGAGGACTTGTCTAACCTCATCCAAGCAAGAATGCTCCATCGGATTCAGCCATGGAGCTTCCATGCCGCGAAGTGCAGCGACTCGAGGTTCTGGTGTTGGAGACGGCCGTGATCCTGAGTTAATAAGTCCGGGAAGAGTGGCAGGGTGCCTGGAGCTTCCATGGACATTTCCAGGAGTGATGCGTACCAGTGCTGGTGGGACCAGGCTGGCGCTATCAATATCACCAAAGCTTGCTCCCTCCGTACCTTGAGGAGCACCTTGTGAACGAGTGGTATGGGCAGAAACGTGTATAGGAGATGACCTCCACATTGGAGGAGAACGCATCCACAATGGAGCCCGGGCTGTGATTCAGGAAAGAGCAAAACTGCTGGCACTTTTTGTTGCATCGCGAACAGGTCTATCTGGGGAAAGCCCCACTGATGGAAGATTGAGTTTGCAATGTCCGGGCGAAGGGACCACTCATGGCCGTGGAACGACCTGCTGAGAGTCCGCCAACTTGTTCTGTACTCCAGGGAGGTATGATGCTTTCAGGTGTATTGAATGCTCTACCTAGAAGTCCCACAGCATGAGGGCTTCCTGGC